ACTGCCATGGGCAGGGACACCTTCCACTATCCCAGGGTGCTCAAATCCCTGTCTGACCTGGCCTTGAACACTTCCAGGAATGGGGCACCCACAGCTTCTCTGGCAAGCTGTGCCAGGGTCTCACAGGGAAGAATTTCTTCCTTATATCCAACCTAACCCCCCATTTTTCAGTTTAAAGCCATTACCTGTTGTCCTATCCCTGTCAAAACCCCCTCCCCAGGCTATGCCACTGGGCAGTGACAGAATGGAAAGCAGCTTGGATGGGGATGTTCCCAGGGAAACAAAGCCCTGACCAAGCCTGCCTGCTCCCCTCTCTGCCCCTGGTGCTCTGTGCAGTCACAGCCTCCCGTTAAACCAGTAACACCAGCAGTTCCCAGTGGACTGGTTTTGACCCAGAAGATGTTATCTTCACACTCAGTGGCTACAGGAGCCTTGAGTCGCTTCCAGCAGAATCTGAAAATCAATTTCACTGTCATGACTTGTGTTTTCACTTTGATTTTAACCCTTTCCCTTGTGTAGCAGAGTAAATTATTTCCAGAGATCGGGGAAAACATGACATTATTCGGAGGGGTAAACCTCTGCACAGTCATGCACAAATGGAACATCATCAGTCCTCTACATTCAAATATATTAAATTTGTTTTGGCAATCACTTACGATAAGCATTGTGCTTGAATGAAAGAGAATGAAAATGAAGGGTTTGTTAGAGAGAAAAGCATCCAAATAGAAAAAGCAATATCCCTTTATTAAAATAGATATATTTCTTGGCTACACATAATTTTGATAGGGGAAGTCAATCCTCTATTTAATATAAATGAAATATGGACAGTTAACTGGGTATTTTACACAGTGATATTTCAATTGCATTTCATAAAATTCAGGCTGGCTTCGGAATGAATAATTTATCCAATTAGATTTTTTTTCTTCCCATTTTTAATAGAACCTGGCCATTCTCTTATCTCTCTCACTGGTTTAAAAATTGAAACAATCCTATTAGAAATCAGGTGTGCAATGTGAGTGCAAAAGTGGTGTCAATATTTTGAGAATGAGGAGGAAAATAGTCTCAGGTTAATCACTGGTTTCCAAGCTGATTTTGGTATTTGGACTTAATTTAATGTTAATGTTTAAAAAAAAAAAAAAAAGAAAGAGTTTTGCAGTTCCTTGGTATAGACTCTGGACAGGAAATGTGAAGCTTGGCTGTGGCTGGTCACTTTATTCTGCTGGTATTGATTCTTGTGCTGCTTTTGTAGTGTTTAAGACTTCTTCAGGCTAATTTTGATTTAGCCTGTAAATTACTTTCAAATGCGATTCTGCAGGGTTCAGATGGATAAGCATGAATTCTGCTTTTAGAGGTGATGGAATAAGTAGAAAAAGTGCTAATAACAAAGTAAAATGTTGTTTAAATATGTTATATCTCTTTGTATGTTTTTTCCTACTTTTAATAAATATCAAACCAATAACACTATACTTGCAGATACCTGGCAGAGGTCTTCTGTCTTCCTCTCATCAGTTTCCAGATTATGTCATCCAGGAAGGTGTCTGACCTTATATCACTCTAGTGCAATGCTCTATCTGAACAAAAATGCCTGTGGATGAAAGATTACAAATTTTATGGCTGTGCAACATCTCCATGAGGAAAACTTCAGGCTTTCACAGGTAGGGAAACTTTCAGTTTAGTCACAGGAATAAGTTTCTGTGCTTAATGTATTACTTAATGTCAGCTGATCCATGATAATGGTTTCTTCATATGCTCATAAAATGTGAAATAATTGGACTGAGTGCTCTTTTAATGTAGGTGAAACGATCCTGAATTACCTTCCCTTTCCTATGGGCTAAGTGTATGTACACATATTTACAGGAGATCAGATGACATCTCTAGCTTGTTTGTGTGCCTGAGCCCTGGAGCACAAGCAAAGGAAATTACTGGTCTGAGTGTGTGCAGCACCTGCAGAGAGCTCAGAGGTCCTGACTTGTGTTTGTAATCCCCTCTGTCCTCCCCACAAGACCATTGGCACTAGCAGGAAGCTGGAGATAGGAGATTAATTTTCATTTTGTTTAAGGATCACATAATCCTGAGGGCACAGGGGAAACAACAACAACGCCATCAATATAAACTAACAAACTAATCTTCAAACTGAGTTTGCATTGTAATATGAATGGGAGAATCTGAATGCTTTAATTCTGGCATTTAGCTCTGGGCAGATGTCCTAATTCAGTGTTGGGTTGGGGGACCTCCTATTCTTAGAAAGCAACAACATTAGAAATTCAACAAATTCTTGAGGAAATGGCTTGGGAATAATGAATAATTAGAAGTCTCTATGATTTATAGCTTAAAATTTGGTTTCAAAGGGGTTTTGCTGTACACTACACATCAATGAAAACATCACTGTCACTGCTGGGGTCTTTAATGAGAATCTTATTCTTTAATCACTTTTCTCAGTTGTCTCTTTTTTCAAATCAAATGTGAGCTCCAGAGGTTTCTGTGTACAATATTTTAGTTTACTCTCTCAGTACAACCAAGCTAAATACCTCAAAATTTTAAGGAACTTAAGAGATTTTCTCCCACCCCGAAGCTTTGATGTTGAAAGGTGTCCCTTTCCTCTTGGGTTGGTGTATTTGCAGTGAAATTTTTGCAATTATTTCTGAAGCTCACAGAGAGAGGAAGAACCAGACCACTGGTGAGTTAGAGAATCTGCTATAGAATCCCATAAAAAAGGCCAAAGTTGGGTTTTAGACAGGGGATCAGGGCATCCAGGCTGACTGCAGCCACTGCCTGCTTACTTCCATCAGCTCTTGCTGCCTTCTGAAAATCCACACAGCAGGAATGAATAGTTCCACACAGCTCTGCTGACAGGTACAATTGTCACAAGAAAGAGAATGTGAAGACAATGTGGAAGAGCTTCTTTAAACAGCTTCTAATTAGCTCTGAAGTAGTTTTCTGTCACTGTAATAATTTGCAGAAGAGATATGTGTTGGCACTGCTCACAGACCCAGTACCCACCTTCCTCCCACCCAGCACATTTGGGGACACTGCCTGCATTGCCTCTCCCCCCACTTATTTGTGGCCTCTTATCAGGTTTTATTGAATCCTGCAGATGGGAAAGAACCCCAAAGCTGTACTGTGTGTGGCAAAGTTTTGGTAGTGGGAGGATACAGGAGTGAATTCTGTGGGAAGCTGCCAGAAACTTACCCAAAATGGCCAAAAAATTCAGTGTTCTCATGGCTGAACACCAGCTCTATATCTAAAATATGGTATTTCATGATGTGCTAGAGATTAATTTTTTAAATTGAAATAAACCATGCTTTTAAGAAAATTAAAATCTTTAAACCTGAATTTTCATAGGAAAGGAAATTTCTTGTCTTATTCTGCCTAGCTGACTGTAGAGTATCCTGTCCATCAATGAGTGGTCTTCCCAACACTCTCTCTGAAGGGACTGATGTGTCTCCATAGTTATGACAAAGGCATTTTAATCTGTTTCATTTTATAACCTGGTAGTGACATCCTGGGACCCTGCTGGCACACACAGAAACTGAGGAATGTCATGCTTGTGCCATTTGTTCACACATTGCTGGGATGAGCTGGGGAGGATTAGTCTTACCATTTGCATAAAACACTTATCAATGAAGGTTCATCATGTGAAAATAGTCCTTGGCCAAGTCTGGAGCATTTTATTCTTCATTTGACTGCTTCTTAGGAGATTAGGGTTTTATACTGACATCAGCAAAGGAAAGTGTGTGCACACTGACTGTCTGGCATGTCTTTGTGTGGCACTGAGTTCTGTAAACACCTGCCTTGTGCCCAGAGACCCAGGTTCATGTTACTGCTCAAAAAATCCTTAGTTACTCTTTCAAAAGGGATGAATTAAAAAGAACCACATCAGAATAAATTATTCTAGAGGTAAAAGACTGAAATTAGTGTCCCCAAATTGGAAAGACAAGAGTTAACATTTGTATTCTTCATGTCCAGTAATTATCTCAACTGACAGCCTTCTAACCATCCTGGAATGATGTCTCTCAGGACCAAAAATGCCATTCTGGTGTTGAGAAAGCTGAAAAAAATACCTGCTGTGGGACTAATTGACCTTTTCACATTGAAAATATTTTGCTGGGAAATCCTCTTCTAACCCTCTACTCAACTTCTTTATCTGCTCCTTCTTGTTTACCAAGCCCTTTGATATCGCTGGGCTGAAGCTAAAAGTGGACTCCGTGCCCTCCTAGGAATTCAAGCTACAACTACAACCGTACTACAGCGTGTCTTGTGCACCAGGCAGGGGACCAGGCTCCAAGCTGCTGGGCTTATGGGCAGCTATAGGTACGTGTGGATCACCGTGGGGGCCCTTGGAGCAAACTCTCCCCCAAGCCACACCTTGAAGTGTGGCTTTCCACCACCTGTGGAAAGATTCCCCTCTGCGGTCAGTCCCTGCCCCTCTGCGGTCACTCCCAGCCCCGTAGGGCACTGCCTGTGGCCACAGCAGCTGCCACTTGGGACAATCATCGGGCTTGGAAGCCAAAAGCCCTGCCGAGCCTTGCTCCACCTGTCCCTCATGCCGGGTGTATCTTCCGTTCGTTGTCAGCGCTCGTTAAGACCGAGGGCATCTCTCCCGCTCGCTTTGCCTTCTCCGAGTCTCCGGTTTCACTGGAACGGAGTCAAACGGAGACGAGTCCACGCAGGGTCTGGAACGGATCAGCAGGTCAGCTGGGAATGCCTGTCAGGCAGCCAGCGCTGCTCCCTCCCTTCTCCCTGGCTTTCTTTGAGGTTTGTAGCTCTTCTGCTTTCTTGTTGCTATTGCCACCCTCCCCACACTCCCCCTACCACACATCAAGCACCCAGACCTTTCCTGGGCACTTTCCTTAATCCCCGGGATTCTTTATATAGGAATTAATCTTCTCGTCACAGTGGGAGAGCTGGGAGGGAGGGGGTACATTTATCTCTCCTGCTGAGGTCTAGAGTTGCATTGCTGTGATTATTGGTGGTAGCAGTGTGCGTGTGTCTGGGGATCTGTGTTTAGTTCTTCGTTTCTTAAACGACGCAGGGGCAGCAGCAAGGCAAGTTGGCAGCTTGGCTTTCGAGCTGCTTTGTGTCTGCTGCTACAAGGAGGGAGTGTGAGTGGGGAGCAGCATGGCAGAACAAGAAGCCAGTGGCTTGCAAGTCCTTCTTTCCACCCTCCAGGTAAGAACAGCTTGAACTAACAAGAGAGGCGCTTGGGCTTGTTTTCCTCTTTAATTCCCCATCAGTGACCTGTCGGGCTGAGGCTGTTGGTACGAGCTCCTGGCTGGCTTGGCTCTCAAAGCATCAGCGTGCAGGAGCCCTGACCTGCGCCTCCCACCCTGAAAAGCCTTTATGAATTGAAGTTTCACTGCTCAGTGATGAGTGCTGGAAATTACTGCTATGCATCAATCTCAGGGCCTGGCTGAGGGCAGAGGCTGCACTGCTGAGCTCTTGCTGCGTTCAGCAGGGCAGCGGGGAGGTGTGAGGCATGGGCTGCTGTGAAATGAATGGGACCTGACAGCGCTGTCAGTCTGAGCTCAGCGTGTCCGAGGGCTGAGGGGCACCAGCGAACAGATCTGCCTGTGAGGAGCAAGTTCCTCCCTGTCAAATTGTCTGCCCGGGACCCTCAAGCACTCCAGGGAAGGTGACAAAAACTCTTGAGACTGGTGAGGTGCTGGTGTTGGGTGTGCTCCGTGACAGGTCCTGTGGATCAGAGGGAAGTGTCCCAGGCCAGGATCATACTTCATAGACAAGCTTGGCCATGGCATGAAGGAGAGGCATCTCTGGCTCTCTTTTCCCACTGCAAGGATGTGTTCCTCCTGCAGGAGAAGATGCCCAGGTTGTGGCATGAGCTACCCTGTGAAATAGGGAGTGTGTTTTGGGAGGGAACCTGTGCTTTTATAATCCTTGTTTTGTCATGAGGGATGGGTGGGAACTGCTTTGACTAGACAAGCTACTTGCATATAAAGCAGCTTTTAGACAGTCACGGTGAAATGCCACTTGTGTGCACTCCTCAGGTGCCCTGAGCCCTCGTGTGCAGCTGTGCTGGCATGGCCCAGAGCCCTGTGGGGACAGGATTTTCATGTCTGAGGCATCAGCAGCATCCTCTGACTGCTACCTGTGCCATCAAAACCTCACACACTGCAGACTCAGAAAATGAAGGAAAGGGTGTGCAAAAAAGACTGACCCACCTGGGTCAGCCCAAGGATTCATGTGTCCAGCCCTGTGTCTCGTGAGGTGTCTGTGACCAGCCACAAGCATGCAGGGGAGGTTATAAAACCTGATGATAGCAATTGGCATTGAAACTATAGTTGTGGGGGCTGATCAACCCTGATGTATTTATCCAAGCTTATGTAACTGTCAACAACTTTTACTTCTCATTTCAAACACTGGTTTGCCCTCTGTAGCCCCTAGTGTCAGTTCTGCAGGTAAACTGGCATGCTGAAGAAAATGATCCCACTATCCTTTTATGTTTTGGCAGTGTAACTTGTTTGCCCTATGTTGTTACAGCTTATTTTATTCATATTTTGTAGTAGATCATGTTTGTGCTGTATCCAGGCTATAGTCCTCTCCCTCTTTCGACAATTGAGAGCTGAGTGCACATCTGATTTTCTTATGCTCTCTAACATAACAGTCCTGATGCTCTTTGCATAATCTGGAAAAGGAATTGGACAAGACCCAGACCTAAATTGGAACCTACAGTTTAAAATCACAAATGCAGTTAATTGACAAAACTGTATGGAGGTCTCAACTAGAAATTGTTAGGAGGACTGCAGGCATGGTATTGGTAAAACCGCAAGACAGCACAGCATTCAGCCACAGTGCCACAAAATCTCACCTTGGCACAAGACCCTTATTCCCAAAAATTCTATATTCACTTGAAGAACATAAAAATCTTTCTTGTTATATCTGCAATTTGATATGGAGGCTTGAGTGCCAAAGGGCAGAAAGTAACGGGTTGATGACAATTACTTGCTCTGATTCACCTCTTTCCTCTGCCTTCAGCAGAAAAATTACCAGCATAACTTTGTAATATCATTACCTATCTCTGCTAAAAAATAAGGTGATAAAAAAGACCTTTACTTGACACAGTTGGAAAGTATTGGCCTGGGAAATAATAACTTTGGTTGATGTTTGCCTTTGCTGATAAGATCTCTCCACACTTTGTTATTTTCTGCAACAGCTGTCCAAAACATGGTTGCTTTGTTTTTGTGACCTGCTGGACTGTCAGTGCTGGTTCATATTCTTTTATTGGGCATGAAGAACATATCTGCTGCTTACAACAGGCTATTCTGCAGGGTATTACTGGGCATTATCCATTTCTGTTAGCACGTAATATTGCTTTGAATGCAGAAAGCTTTCAGGTGAAGAATGAGGGAACATTCAGCCAGTCTTTATAAACTCAGAATAAAATCATCCTTTCTCCATCAGTCACTCACACAGGACTAAATTTCTACCTCCCTTCCAAGCACAGGTAGAGATTTTTATTCCCAGCTGGAGGAATGTCCAGCCTTGAAACAGGGTCTGTCACCTTCTGCTGAGGGAGGGATCCCCCCCATCTCTTCCTGGCATAGACACTTTCACTCCTAGACTCAATGCCTGGCTTTGGTAAGGGTAGTATCAAGCAGAACAAATCCAGAACACAGTGCACTTTGTAACTGAGCAGTCACGGAAAGAAACACATTTTTTAGTTCTTCAAAACTATTCCCAGTGCTGTGAAGGAGCGTGATCCTCCAAAGACAGCTCAAACCCCTGGAAGTGCAACGTGCTGTGGATGTTCTGCAAAGTGACAAGGTGAATAGCAAAAACTCCTTTCAAAGTGCAGCTGCATTTTGTCACCAAAATGTCACTGCAGGGAAGACGTGACATTTCAGATCTCTAGGTAAAAAGTGCTTCACTGCTTACAATGTGCGGCTTTAAAAATGTGAAATTCAGATTTAAGAAAACCCTCTCCCCGTCTCACAGGTTTTGTGTCAGCATGGCAGAGCCAAGCTCTGAGGATTTTACTGTCATTTCTCATTTTCTTTCGAACTCTGGTACCTTCCCCCTTGCTCCCTCTTCTTGACTCTCCCTCTCCAGTGTGATCCTGCAGTTATCACCTCCTGTCCCTCTGGCCTGGATAGTGTTACCTGTTTCTGTTCCCACCTCTCACTGCATGACATCGAGCTCCTCAGCCCTGAACCAGCCCCACTCTGTCTTTCATACCCAGACAATGCAGTTCCTCAGTCAAGGCTGGGCTGGTTGCCACTCTCACCCTGGCCCCTGACCACGGCGTGGCAGAAGTAAACACCCTCTGCATGTACGGCTTTTGACCAGGCAAAAAAGACTGACATGCCATCTTACAGGCAGCCTCCTCAATGCAAAATCCCAAGTGATTTGGGATTAGATCTCTTGGTTATTTTAATGCTAGGAGGAGGTATCTGGATGTTAGTTAAACACAGCTGGTACTTGCTAAAAAGAGCAATAGAAAACTGGAACCAACATCTTGCCTTGTGACCCAGACTAGTGAATCCCTTGAGACTGTAGAGTATTTTAGTTCCTCCTCCTCGTTGCCCTGGCCTTCATCTCACCCCACTCTCTGATCATTTAGACAAATAAGAAACATTTTTATTTTTCCCTTTCCTTCTCCCTGCTCTCCTCCTCAGTGCCCATGCCTTGGTTAGCCCCGAGAACATCTTATTCCATGGCAGGATACATCGTGTTGCCTGAGGAGTCCCAGATTTCCTCTTGGCTCTCAGTGTAGTTTTCACATGTTTTCCAAAGCCACAGTCCCCGTTCACATATTCTGCAAAGCTGGCAGCCCCTGGGGCCGTTGGCAGATCTTTGGCTCAAACTCTGTCTTGCTCTGTTGGACTTCACAGGTTCCCAAATGCTACGGTTTGACAGGGAAAAGATGCAAATCTTATGTATCAGTGGTGGATGTTTTTGCAGAGGGATTTATCTGTGAATGGCCGCAGTGTCCAGCAGAACAGACACAGGATCTGCTGTTTGCTAACTTGGAGCTCTCAGCTCATTGTGCTGCCCCTTCCGAGCTGTCGTGCTGGCTGGCTGACAAGGCAGAGCTATTGTTATCCTAAGGACAAGTGGGAAGGTATCTGTGCTGCTCCACTGCCAATGAATAGAAATGCATTTTGCAAAATGCTTTTGTCTGCTCTGCATCCTTGCACTTACTCTGTCAGCAAAACTGCTGAGATTCCTGACTTTGAGAGAAATAGATGTAAAAAATTCCAGGAACTGCTCAGGTAGCAGAATGGCCACTAATTTGGGGATGGAGGAGCTCAAAGTTTGGTTCGGTGTTTTTGGGAGGCAGCCTGGCAGGCTGGGTTTAGAGAAATAGCCTTAGAGGGAACAAAAATCAACTCAAAACCAGATGGCCATTTTTATGTGGTTCGTTAACTGAGTTTTACTGTGATTGTTGTACTTAAAGTGAGCAGCAGTGGACTTATTTCTGCTATTCCTTATAAAAACTGTTTTAGCTTTGGAACAGCAGAAGAAGTGCAGTTAGGACAGGGAAACACTTGGCTTGTAGGGTTCAAGGAGAAAGAGTGGGTGCAATCCTGTCATGTCTCTACTGCCAATGCCACTCGGGCTGCATGAGCCTGGTTTTGGATTTAACCATGGAAGAAAAGGCATAATCCTCCATAAACAATCCTATAGAGATAGTGCAGGTTCTGACCTCAGCTTTCAGGATGGCTGCTTTTCCTTCCCACCTCCACTGCCAACTCCTCCCTATCCAAGGAGAACCTGAAGGTAACCCAGAGCTTTTCCCTACAACCCTTGGCTCGCCACCATGGGGCACTGCTAAGCAACAAAGAAGAAAGGAGGCTAACATCCATACATTAATCCCAAATTCCTGCCAGGCCACAGAAGAAACATTGAGGTTTTTTGCTCTTGTGAGCCAGCACAGAGCACTAAAAGCCTTCAGAGGAAGCTGTGACAGCTCTTGGACTCTGCTGAAATCCTTCCACTGACTGAGCTGGGACCAGAATTGCTCTCTGTCCCTGGGCTGGCCACAGCTGTTTCTCTGAGCACACTGCCAGCTCCTCTGCAAATGCCTCCAGATGGGCTATCCAGAATTTTCTGTGGCTGAATTCATGAGCATTGAGGACCTCGGGGTGCAAAATGTACCCAGAGAGTGATTGGAACAGCAGCAGTGGTGGCTGAGCTGAGCACAAGAGTGT